CCCTTAAAGCTAAATGACTGAAGGCACTCGATTCGTTAAAGGTTGTCTCCAATTCAAAGTGAGGAGGGGATCAAACTACAGTGCTTCACTTATATAGATCATTGGTGCGATCTAAACTTGATTATGGCTCGATCGAATATGGCGGAGCCTGCAAAAGCAACCTTAAACTACTTGATTCTATCCACCACGAAGGACTATGACTTTGTCTTGGATCATTTAGAACTTCTCCAGTTGATAGTCTCTATGTCGAGGCAGATGAGCCTTCTCTTTCCCAACGCCGTATAAAATTATCTTCACAATATATTACCAAACTATATTCTAACGAATCTAACCCTGCATTTAACTGTGTCTTCAATCCTCTTTATGAGGATTTGTATAACAAAAAGTCTTCTCTTGTTCCGCCTCTTGGACACAGAATTAAACCATTCATTGCTGCTGCCGGAATTGAGCTGGAGAATATATCTCCTTCTCGTCTTCTTTCTTCTCCTCCTTGGCAATTGGTGAGGCCAGAGGTTGACTTAACATTAACCACATTTAAAAAATCCGAAACTAATGATTTACAGTATAAACAAAAATTTAGTCAATTAAGAAATAAATATAATACATATAAATCCTTATTTACAGATGGATCCAAGGATGGTGGCGCGGTGGCTTGTGTCACTGTCATTGGATCCAGAACAATATCTTCTCGACTACCTAATAATAGCTCTATTTTCACAGCAGAAGCTAACGCTATATTAACAGCTCTTAAATATATAAATAAACACTGTAAATATAAACAATATATCATCTTTTCTGATTCTCTTTCGGTGTCTTCAGGCTATTAAAAATCTTTCTTGTAAACATCCACTTTTATTAGAAATTATTGAATTGTATAATGAGCTTGCTACTGGCCAATGCGACATCGTCTTTTGTTGGTTACCCATCCACGTTGGCATTTCTGGGAATACACTGGCTGATCTTGCTGCTAAGGCAGCACTCAACAAATCTGTGACACCACTTCTTATACCATACTCTGATTACAAAGCTAGCATTAGAACTTACATCCGCGATCTGATGCAGAAGAAGTGGGACACCTAGGTGGGTATTAATAAATTACATGAAATAAAACCCCATATTGGTTACACCTACTTGGGTTGTCAATCCAGATTTGAAGAGGACATCATGCGACGATGTCGTATTGGCCATACAAGATATACTCATGATATACTCATTAAAAGGTGAGGATCCTCCGTTTGGTATCCCTTGTGATGAAAGAATCACGGTCAAGCATGTCCTGCTTGACTGTGTTGAATATTCCATCACAAGGGATATCTATTTCAAATCACAAACTATGAAGGATCTTTTTAGTAATATAAGTTCTCATTTAATTATTGCCTTTTTAAAAAAATTAGACTTGTTAACTGATTTGTAAATAGATACATATTTTATTATTGGTAGTTTAGATTAGTAACTGAGATTGTTAGTGGCCGTACCCTCAAAGGGGGTTGAAGTAGCGTAAAATTATTGTCCTCCTGAGAGGGTACGTAAGTCCCAAAACTTTCAAAGTTAAATTTTGCTTACCCGATTTTTAAACGTAGTATATTTGTTCCTTTAAATTTCGGCTAAACTTGTCCTACAATCGCCAGCGGCTGAAGGGATGGTGTAAATCCAACTAGGGTCCATGCAGGTAGCAAAGGCACTGTAAGTCCCAATGGTCCCTAGTATGGTGATCTACCTTCTGTTGTTGGCGATCTATAGCCCAATTTTACATTGTATTGTCCAGAAATAATTTTCTAATTTTAAAGATATATGCTAGCTAGTTTTAACTCAATCTGTGATAATCTAGTGGTTTTACTGTCCTTCGTTGACAGGGTTTTATATATTATATGTATGTATTATAAATTTAGAAACTAGTTTTAGTCACGATATGGCTGAAATATTGCCGATGTGACTTTAAATCTTAACTAACTCACTCACTTTGAACTCGGTGGTGAATTTGCCAGTTTGACCGCATCAGCAAAGTCATCAAGGCACTTGGCGTGGCACTCCTTACAACAGCGTTAGATTCCGTCACGGTAGGCTTAGAAAATGAGCATGCTATTTAACATCCTGTGAGTACTTATTACTTAAATTGCAAGTATTACTTAACTATATGAACACAATGTATTGAATAGAGTAAGGATTGGTTAGATCGTACTTCAGAGTCCAGTTAATTCTCCGTCAGTTTAATTCTTTTACCCCGGATCTTCACGGGTCTCTAGCATTAGAACTTTACATCCGCGATCTGATGCAGAAGAAGTGGGACACCTAAACTGACGGGCAAAAGTTAGTATATGACGTTTTGAACGTCCTGTAACAAAGACATACACCGAAATTTCCCAAAAATATTTAATGCATCATAATAAAAAAACACTTGAGCTGTAAATCACAAAAAATCAACAATTTCATTCAAGGAGTTTGTGAGCCGCTGTCAAGTAAACACGCAAGGGGTGGAATTTTGCATAAATCGATTATCACAATCTGAGTTTATGAGTCAGTAGCAGGGGCATTCCTTGAATACAGGATCTTGTGCACATCAGTATCGTGTGTGACCCCCTGCTGCGTCAATGCATGCCCTCACACGTCTCCTCATTGACGTCGTCAAACGTCGAATGACGTCATTGGGAATGCGGTTCCATTCCTCTCTGAGTGCTTGCTCTAGCTGTTGCCTGTTCTGTGGAACTTGTTGCCGACCTCTGATCTTCCTGTCCAGATGATCCCAGAGGTGCTCGATCGGGTTCATATCCGGTGAGCACGCTGGCCAGGGCAGGACGTCAACAGTGTTCTGTTGCAGAAAGTAGCGAGTCTCTCTGGCAGTGTGAGGTCTCGCGTTGTCATGTTGTGGTGGAGTACACCCGGGGTTGATTCTGTAGGAAGGGTACCACAACTGGCTGTAGGATCTGTCCGATGTACCCCGTGCATTGAGATTGCCCTGCACTACAACCAGACGGGTCTTCTGGTCTCCACAGATACCGCCCCAAACCATGACTCCACCCCCGCCGAATGGATGAACTTCTCTGATGCATGGCCTTGCTAAACGTTCCCCTCGTCGACGATATACCCGTTCTTTGCCATCACACTTGCAAAGGGTGAAACGGCTTTCATCGGAAAAGAGAACACGTCGCCAATCTCGGACTTGCCACCTGTATACTTGCCTTGCCCACCGCTGTCTGTTTAGGTGATGTCTGAGGGTCAGGACCATTCCGCGGAAAGGCCGGTAAGCCCTTATACCAGCTAATCTCAATCTTCGGGTCACTGTGCGACGACTGATACGATGCCCGAGTGCCGTAGCCGCCGTCGACGTTGCCGTCACGAACCTGTTCCGGAGATGGATAGTCCGGATGTAGCGGTCTTCTATGGGTGTAGTGACCCGTGGCCGTCCACTTCTCGGCCTGTCTTGAGTGCTACCAGTATTCCGGTAACGTGTGAACAGCCTGGAGATTGTTGCTGGGGTACAGCCGAACGTTCTGGCAAGATGAGCTTGGGTAGCTCCCATATCGCGCATTCCAATGGCTCGCTCTCGCTGAATTTGTGTCAGCTTCGGCATTTTTTGCATGTGCTTTCAGTTACTGTGACATGCCAGCGTGTATCCATCCCATTTCTACCCGACTGGTGCACGTGCATGTTCGTGATTTTCAAAGATTACATGTTATACCTTTTTCTCGTGCTAGGGGGTCACGTGACTACATCTACTGACATCACTACCATTCTGCAATATTCTCGTGACTTTGACAATGTTTGCTTTGGATGTTTCATTGGAATTTAGACATGCTCAATTTCCCCAAACCAAATTGAAAACGTTATACTAACTTTTGCCCGTCAGTTTAGGTGGGTATTAATAAATTACATGAAATAAAACCCCATATTGGTTACACCTACTTGGGTTGTCAATCCAGATTTGAAGAGGACATCATGCGACGATGTCGTATTGGCCATACAAGATATACTCATAATATATACTCATTAAAAGGTGAGGATCCTCCGTTTTGTATCCCTTGTGATGAAAGAATCACGGTCAAGCATGTCCTGCTTGACTGTGTTGAATATTCCATCACAAGGAATATCTATTTCAAATCACAAACTATGAAGGATCTTTTTAGTAATATAAGTTCTCATTTAATTATTCCCTTTTTAAAAAAAATAGACTTGTTAACTTTTTTGTAAATAGAGACATATTTTATTATTGGTAGTTTAGATTAGTAACTGAGATTGTTAGTGGCCGTACCCTCAAAGGGGGTTGAAGTAGCGTAAAATTATTGTCCTCCTGAGAGGGTACGTAATTCTTAAAACTTTCAAAGTTAAATTTTGCTTACCCGATTTTTAAACGGAGTATATTTGTTCCTTTACATTTCGGCTAAACTTGTCCTACAATCGCCAGTGGCTGAAGGGATGGTGTAAATCCAACTAGGGTCCATGCAGGTAGCAAAGACACTGTAAGTCCCAATGGTCCCTAGTATGGTGATCTACCTTCTGTTGTTGGCGATCTATAGCCCAATTTTACATTGTATTGTCCAGAAATAATTTTCTAGTTTTAAAGATATATGCTAGCTAGTTTTAACTCAATCTGTGATAATCTAGTGGTTTTGCTGTCCTTCGTTGACGGGGTTTTATATATTATATGTATGTATTATAAATTTAGAACTAGTTTTAGTCACGATATGGCTGAAATATTGCTGATGTGACTTTAAATCTTAACTCACTCACTCACTCACTCAAATTTGAACGAAATCGGTGGTGAAATCAAGATTTTAGAACAATTCCACCGCTGCACTCATGATCAGTGTGATTAATCTCTTCTAGCCTCATGAACTCAGAGGGCGTCAGTTTAAGTAAATTATATTTTCTCATGTACAACAGTTCCAGGTTAATACTCAGGTGAGAAAGCCAAATGAGATATTTGTGTTTTGTGTTCAGAGGTTTTGTAGCCTGTGTTTTTACCTTTGTTTAAATGTTTTCAACGTTGAGCACTATTGTTTCAGCTGGTGACCCTTTCAAAGACTGAAGAGATGGCGAATGATTTTGCCGATTTGACTGCATCAGCGGAAGTCATCAAGGCACTTGGCGTGGCACTCCTTACAACAGCGTTAGATTCCGTTACGGTAGGCTTAGCATATGAGCATGCTATTTAACATCTTGTTTCTACCTGTGAGTACTTATTACTGAAATTGCAAGTATTACTTAACTTTATGAACACAATGTATTGAATAGAGTAAGGATTGGTTAGATCGTACTTCAGAGTCCAGTTAATTCTCCGCCAGTTTAATTCTTTTACCCACATTATGTTATGTAAATCGAAACACTTAATAATAACTCAAGTCTCCCAACAATGTCTAACCTAAGAATGGAAATATGCAGTATGTCACGGGTCACAGTCTCCCAGCAACGTCCACACTTTGAGTGGAAATATGTCATGGGTCACAGTCTCCCAACAATGTCCAGACTTTGAATGGAAATATGTCATGGGTCACAGTCTCCCAACAACGTCCACACTTTGAATGGAAATATGTCATGGGTCACAGTCTCCCAACAATGTCCAGACTTTGAATGGAAATATGTCATGGGTCACAGTCTCCCAACAATGTCCAGACTTTGAATGGAAATATGTCATGGGCCACAGTCTCCCAACAATGTCCAGACTTTGAATGGAAATATGTCATGCGCCACAGTCTCCCAACCATGTCCAGACTTTGAATGGAAGTACGCAGTATACCCTGGGACACAGTTACCCAGCAACGTCCAGACTAAATATAGTTTAAAGTTTAGAGTGACCAATATATCAAAGACGCCCTTCAAAGTCTGGACTGAAAGTGTAAATAGACAGAATGCAATGAGCACAATTCCCTTACAACGTCTAGACTAATTGTTGTAAACAGCATTGCCTGCAACAGTGTGTAACATGTAACTGTGTGTATTGTTTTCAGGCCATCGATGTAAACGAGGAATATCCAACTCTAACTGATATTGTTACTGCCAAGAAATCGGACAAGTACCCGATCTATGACACTGACCTCGAGTCCTCCGATCCGAGTAAGATTTAAACATTTTTTGTTACCATTCCCATTACCTATCAAAATAACTTTAGTTACATGTTTAATTCAATCAAGATAAGCTGTCTAGTGGTTAAAGCGGTTGCTCGTCAAAGAGTAGACCCTGAACGAATGTAGGAAACTAATTTTCGCACCCTTTCTCCATCTACGAGTACAGATCATGCACTTACAAGTTATTTCTTTGGTTCGGTAGGCTGCTTTATTTTCCTTTTACATCACTGGTTGTTGTTTGCTGGTTATATCCATAGGTGTCATTGGTTCTGCTGACCCTTTCAAGCAGCACGCCAAAAACGTACATGCCGTGGAACAGGAGGAGGTGGTAAGTGGCACCTTGCTTGTATTCATCCTGTCTCAATATATCACACACACACACGCACACACACATTTTTCTTGTCTCACACACATATACTCACATTTTCCAGCACATACATGTAAATCTTCACTATGTTTCATATATATAATACCTTACATTGTCTCACACACAAACATACCTCTTATTTCTCATGCATAATTATACTTATCGATTTTCATACATATCTTCCCATGTAAAAAGGTCTGCGATCAGGTCAATGTCATCATATTGCACAAATATTCATCAATCACATCTAATTACGATCAGCCAAATAATACTGTCATTCTGTCGCGGACACTAATACTCGGATACATATGTTCATATTTGTCTCCACGCATAAACTGCTTTTGTCTCACTCACATACGACCCGTGAAAGTCCGGTTTAGAATTGGTCTTCAGTAACCCATGCTTGTCGTAAGAGGCGACTAACGGGATCGGGTGGTCAGGCTCGCTGACTTGGTTGACACATGTCATCGTATCCCAGATGCGTAGATCGATGTTCATGTTGTTGAGCCCTGGATTGTCTGGTCCAGACTCGATTGTTTACAGACCGCCGCCATAGTGCTGGAATATTGCTGTTTGACGCGAAACACTCACTCACTCACTCACTCACTCACTCACTCACTCACTCACTCACTCACTCACTCACTCAATCACTCACTCACTCACTCACTCACTCACTCACTCACTCACATACATACGCTTGCCTGGTCTCAAACAAGTATGCTCACAGGCCGATATGTTGTTGCCTCAGAATCCGTCTAATGTGTTTGATATATTCACTTGAACAATAACTTTAATAACAAAATCTAAATTTAAAAAGCATTACGATATAGGTAGATATTTGTATCTATGTTGACTTAATATGTATATACGGTTCTATGAAGTAGAACCTTAGTGTAACAACGGAAACACCGTCATCCAGCGTTACGTCGACAGATTAATATCTTAAGTTTTGTGTTGGACATTGCAGCAATCAGGCAATTCCGACAACGTGAAACTGATCGTCGATACCGTAGTGAAGAAATTGTCGGGGACTCTCACCCCCGGGGAGTCTTTAAACTTCAGTACCCCCGCAGTCACCGGATCCATCAGCCATGTTGACGCTGGCGAGACCGGAGGCACCGAAGTAACGTTGCCGCTCACAAGAACGTCTCTGTCCATACCAGGTGCAAACATCTTCGGGAACCTTCTCGGAGAGAACGATACTGCTGTCATATCGGTGAGACATGGTACCCTGTATGTGGTCTTTAGTATAGAAACGCCTTCCATATCTATACTTGCCATCAAAAGTTTAGACTCAGTTGTGTAAATATTGCCACTTACTTCAGGCAAATGTTCTAAAACTAAATTTTGCAAAATATTCCATACGGTTTAAAGGTACTGTTAACACATGAACTGATGGATTGTAAAACAAATTCGTAACGTCGAAAAGATTATTCTCATGAGTTCCAGAAATGGTAAAAATCAGTGAAAAATGGCGAATCCTTAACAAAACTTTACACCAAATTAAAACGCAGCTGTTCACATGCACGATATTTGCACATGCTTTTCAGCAATTTGATGCATGATCCTCGTGCAATTCATTTGCATAAGAATTGCAGTTGGTTCCCCCCAAGATAGTGGAGAAATCAATCTTTGATGCAACCACATATATATACAAAACCATATTAAGTGAGTCGAAACTTTTGATGGGAAGTATATCTGGGACTAGCGATGGAATGAGGTCTAAAGACTGACTATGTGTGTGTGTGTGTGTGTGGGGTGTTGTTTTGAACTACTCCGTGCAGGGATCTTCTTGAAAACGTAATATGTTCCAGAAGTTAGAGGATAATCCTGTATTCTGGTTTTACCAACCAGGATTCATTGCTCACTGGACTGTCTGATGTCCGATAATATATCCTTTCCATAACAAACTCTCACATCCTCAGCCTCATCCCAACCCTCAGCCTCAGCCTCAGCCTCATCCCACAGCTCAGCCGCATCCTCATCCTCATCCTTACCCTCATCCTCATCCTCATCCTTAACCTCATCCACATCCACATCCTCATCCTTACCCTCCCACATCATCCTCATCCTAATCATCCTCATCCTACCAAGCCTCATCCTCATCCTCATCCTTACCCCTCATCCTTACATCCTCATCCACATCCTCATCCTCATCCCAACCCTCATCCTTACCTCACCTCACCCTCATCCTCATCCACATCCTCATCCTCATTCCAACCCTCATCCTCAGCCTCATCCTTACCATCCTCATCCTCATCCAACCCTCATCCTCAGCCTCATCCCAACCCTCATCCTCATCCCCCACAGCTCAGCTCATCCTCATCCACATCCTCATCCCAGCCTCATCCCAACCCTCATCCTCATCCTCACCCTTACCCTCATCCTCATCCACATCCTCAGCCTCATCCCAACCCTCATCCTTACCCTCATCCCCATCCACATCCTCATCCTCATTCCTACCCTCATCCTCAGCCTCACCCTTACCCTCATCTTCATCCACCTCTTCATCTCACCCCAACCCTCATCCACGTCCTTACCCTCATCCTCACTTCTGGTATTACCAACCAGGATTCATTGCTCACTGGACTGTCTGATGTCCGATAATATATCCTTTCCATAACAAACTCTAACATCCTCAGCCTCATCCCAACCCTCAGCCTCAGCCTCAGCCTCAGCCTCATCCCACAGCTCAGCCGCATCCTCATCCTCATCCTTACCCTCATCCTCATCCTCATCCTTAACCTCATCCACATCCACATCCTCATCCTTACCCTCATCCACATCCTCATCCTCATACCAAGCCTAATCCTCATCCTCATCCTTACCCACATCCTCATCCACATCCTCAGCCTCATCCCAACCCTCATCCTTACCCTCATCCACATCCACATCCTCATCCTCATTCCAACCCTCATCCTCAGCCTCACCCTTACCCTCATCCTCATCCACATCCTCAGCCTCATCCCAACCCTCATCCTTACCCTCATCCACATCCACATCCTCATCCTCATTCCAACCCTCATCCTCAGCCTCACCCTTACCCTCATCCTCATCCTCATCCCACAGCTCAGCCGCATCCTCATCCTTTACCTCATCCACATCCTCATCCTCATTCCTACCCTCATCCTCAGCCTCACCCTTACCCTCATCTTCATCCACCTCTTCATCTCACCCCAACCCTCATCCACATCCTTACCCTCATCCTCACTTCTGGTATTACCAACCAGGATTCATTGCTCACTGGACTGTCTGATGTCCGATAATATATCCTTTCCATAACAAACTCTAACATCCTCAGCCTCATCCCAACCCTCAGCCTCAGCCTCAGCCTCAGCCTCAGCCTCATCCCACAGCTCAGCCGCATCCTCATCCTCATCCTTACCCTCATCCTCATCCTCATCCTTAACCTCATCCTCATCCTTACCCTCATCCTCATCCACATCCTCAGCCTCATCCCAACCCTCAGCCTCATCCTTACCCTCATCCACATCCACATCCTCATCCTCATTCCAACCCTCATCCTCAGCCTCATCCTCAGCCTCATCCTTACCCTCATCTTCATCCACATCTTCATCTCACCCCAACCCTCATCCACATCCTTACCCTCATCCTCACTTCACTTCACTTCACTTCACCTCACCTCACCTCACTTCACCTCAGCTCAGCTCACTTCATCTCGCGCTCGCCCTCGCCCTCGCCCTCGCCTTCGCCCCTCACCCCAATCCTCTTCCTCACCCTCAGAGACACGTAAGTAGCACCAGTAAACAAGATATTCTTTGGTTTCCATACTTTTACTGCGGTAGACAGAAACGTGTGTTCTTTTGCCCGAGAATCTGTTTTTATCTAAATCTTCTTTTGGGCAGTTTAAACATGCATAATAAAACTAGTATTTTTTTATTGCGATCTCCACCCTTGGAATTTAAAAAGAGCTTTCCGAGTTTTAATGGATACTTTCCTTTCATTAACTATGATAACGGAAAGGGTAGGTGGACTGATGTTTCAATGTGTTTTCCGCATGCCAACGGTGATACTTGTACACATAATGGCGTTCAGATTCCAGTAAAGCCAGAGTTATTTTTACAGCTACATATATAGTATATACATGTAATTTTCAGGCAATTGCTACCAAAAGAGACATCAATACATTTGCCGACACAACGTCGAGTCTTGGACCAGACACACAGTTCCTGACAGTGGAGTTCTTGACACAGAACGGTTCCACGATCCCTATTAAAAACACTCCAGGAACCTATCAAAATTATCATCGCACATTCCACAAGCGGCCCCATGAACTACACAGAATCCACGTTACATATTGCAAACTGGAACAACCTCTACTACACCAGAGTGAACCTCACCGGCGACGACTCTTCCATCCACGTGGACGTGCAAGACCTTGCCGATCCCGAGATCCAGGTCCTCCTTGTGGTCAAGAAGGGTGAACTTGGGAACATTGAGAAAGGAATATGCGATGACGTTGCGTTCATACCACAAACACTAGGTAACTTACCCCGGTTCTGTTTGGGTATTATGCATGATTATGTATGTATTTAGTAGTTTGTTTGTTTGTTTTTTAACGCCGCACTCAGCAATATTCCAGATATATAGAGTCAGGAGTCTGGACTAGACAATCCAGTGGTCAACAGCATGAGCATCGATCTACGCAGTTATGATACGATGGCATAATTCAATCAAATCAGCGAGTCCGATGCAGTATATTTAGGGATAACTAGCTCTTTGTACTTAAGCTGGTAACATTTCATCTACTTTGAGGCAGTGGGGTAGCTTCGTGGTTAAAGACCCAGTTAGATTCCCTACAAAGGTACACTATGTGACGCCCATTTCTGGTGTCCCCACCGTGGTATCTGTGGGATGTTTCTAAAAGTGGCGTACAACCTTACCGACCCACTCTACTCTGGATAAGGCGATAACGGACTGAGTCAGGGATAGGTTATTTTGTCTTCAAAATTCTATAATGAACCAACTTTATGGATAACAACTTCGATACAAATTCTTGTACCGTTGTCCAGCATGAATGTTATCCAAAAGGTTTGTTCAGTATTGTCCGTCCCAACTTCTAAAATGCCACTGAAAGAAGTTCAAAATTCTGTGTATTAAGATCGAGAAAATATGGTTATAATTACTACTCGTTTAAAAACACATGATTCTTATATATTACTATAGTTTATTAATCACGGCACATTGAACAATTACATACAGACCCGTGCCAGATATATTCGGACTCTTGACGTAATTTCCATAGACTTACATGTTATTTCAGTGTAGCATAAATAATCTTAATGAAGTGAGTTGTAAAATGTGACACACAAACGTGAATCATCTCTGATCTCCGCACATAATTTCAGTTCAGTTTTCTGACCACTATTCAACTAATGACATCACATTTATCAACTTACGTATGGTTCCACAATGCACAATCCCATAGGCTGCCATGTTAAAGGAGTTCTCGGCACTGTACATATGTTGATTAACTTGCTGCCATTCGATAAATAAGCAACGGAAAATTAAACAGATGTGATTGTAGGTAAGATGATTCCTCACAAATGTGCAAAATTTGACTTGGATTAAACGAAAATTAAATTCGTGAAAATTATTTATGCCACACTAAATTAACATGTAAGTCCCTGGAAATTACGTCATGTGTCCGAATATAACTGGTACGGGTCTGTAAATTAACATTTAATTCACTGTACGTATCATACTCTTTATACCCACAGCTCCCCCACGAATCATGTCTTACACAATGGACAATCGGAAGGTCCAGAAGTTCACGGGCACAGTGTGGATTGGTTTCCGACCAGTTCCCAAAGGGTTCGACTCCAGCACGATCACATCCTGCGCTGACCTGCACAAACTTGACCTGAACACCACCCACCCCGACATCCAGCTCGGCGTCTACACCTACACCAGCGGCTGTTACTTCTTCGATGTGGCCAGGAAGAAGTGGTCATCAGAAGGATGTTATGTAAGTGGGAACATTTAAGCAGCAGATATCAAAGACATTGAAACATCAGCGTCATAAAATATTCTGCACGACAAAAGCACTTTGTGAGTGAGTGAGTTTAATTTTGCGACGCTTTTAGCAATATTTCATCTATATCTGGGCGGATGACACTAGAAATGGGCTTCGCACCTTGAACCCATGTGGGGAATTGTACCCAGATCTTCGGCGAGCGCTTTAACCACTAGGCTACCCCACTGCCCCCAAAAGTACTTTGTGGCTGAACGACTTATGAACTAAGAGTCCACATAGTTCTAGCTTGGTGTGACACACTGGATGTTACTGCCATTAGTTCGCTCGCCATACTGAATATTTGGATTAGACTCTCGCCACAAAGAATGGTCATGCATGGTGACACCTTCTTTAAAGTAAAGTATCCGTGAAGGTCCGGGTTAGAATGAGCCTTCAGTAACCCATGCTTACGTAAGACGCGACTAACGGGATCGGGTGGTCAGGCTCGCTAGCTTGGTTGACACATATCATCGGTTCCCAATTGCGCAGATTGATGCTCATGCTGTTGGTCACCGGATTGTCTGGTCCAGATTCGATTATTTTCAGACGGCCGCCATATAGCTGGAATATTGCTGAGTGCGGCGTAAAACTACACTCACTCACTTAAAAGTAAAGGCATTCATATTCAGTGCTTCACAATTACGCCATCGTGAAGTTTAAGAGCCTTCAGCAACCCATTCTTGTTTTAAAAGGGGACTCACGGAATCAGGTGGTCAGGCTCACTGGCCTGGTTGATGTCAACCACTTAGTTTATCTAGGATTATCTACAGACCGCCGTTATATAGCTGTAAGATTGCTGAGTGAGGCGTTAAACAAAACCAAAACAAATTACACACAAAAGAAAACTAATACTGAAATATCAGGCAAAAGACATACATCCATCTTCATGAGATTTTGAGTTTCCCACTGATCTAAAAAGCTTTAATTAGATGAATTTCGAGTAGGGCTTTAGTCCGCTTCTGGCAACATTCCAGCAATATCATGGTGGTGGACACCAGAAAAGGGCTTGACACATTGTAGAAATTGTATCCTGATGGGACGCACGAACACTAACTACTAGGCTACCTATTTGTCCCTGAGTTTGAATCCAAGATTCGCTGGTGAATATGACCATCGGTACGTCAGTAGTGAAGAACGTATGTTATATTTGAACTATGCAGTTACTGTTTGCTAATCGTCACGAATTTTGGTATTAGCACGCTACACATCCGATCAAAATTAAAAGTTACCAATTATTCGTAACCTCTTCATCAGGTTAGCAGTGAAACCAACTACAATGAAACCGTCTGTTTCTGCAACCACTTGACGACATTTGGCGGCGGTTGGGCTGTTGCTCCCAACACCATCGACTGGAACTTCGTCTTCGCCAACGCCGATTTCTACAAGAACCCCACCATCTACATCACTGAAATGGTAATATGCGTGCTGTACCTGCTCTCTGTTGTCTGGGCCAGGAGGAAGGACCGAAAAGATTTGGAGAGGGTAAGTGCTCTTCCGTTGTTGACCGTTGACCGTTGGTCAGTAATGTACCATGAAAGAACATGTTCACGTTCACCCATTGATATCCGGGTTAGAATTGATCTTCATTAACCCATGCTTGTTGTACGAAGCGACTAACTGGATCGGGTGGTCAGACTCGTATCCCAATTGTGCAGATCGATGCTTATGCTGTTGATCACTGTATTGTCTGGTCGAGACTCGATTATGTACAGACCGCCTCCATATAGCTGGAATATTGCAGAGTGCGGCGTAGAACAAGCCACAAACATGTTCAGGTTTATTTCCATATTTCTGTTGGTTTGAACTGTTGTTTAAAGCTCCGATTAGCATGACTGTTCCACAATTTTATTGGAAAAGTCATTTGTCTTCATGATATCTAGGAGTATACATGATAGTGTTTTCCCAGAATGAGAATAACGTTCACTCGTCATCCAGTTGACTGAGTCGTAGCTTTAAAGCGCACTTCCTGGACGCTGCTTGTGACGTCACAGGCGCGTGTTTACGCAACTATTCTATTTAAAGGAAAACTTTGATATAGCTTACCATGTTCGCTACACCTTGTGTATCGTAACGTAGCCTGCCCCTGAAAGAGTACAACACTATACATAAACTGAGAAGCACAAATAGGGTATATCGAGTTTTTAATCTAATCAAAAACTGAACTTTTGTTCAGTTATTATGTTAACTTAACTATCGCTCAATTACAACACTAATCTATGTCTTGGTACGAAGAGGTGTAGTTTAAAAATGACTTGCAACCTGAAATTTAACGTAAATTTCTGACGTAAGCATATTTTATCGATTTACTAACACAACACGTCTAAGATACCCATCATTGTTTTAAGTCCAATTACATTTTGAAAAACAAAACCAGTTAAAACATATTTTAAATACGTCAGTGCAGTTCGTGGTCGTGTATGATATCTTAACTTAAGATATTTTCATTTCAATATCAAGAATATATTATCAACTATATTAAGTATTGTTTCTTTTGCTCCTTGAGTATATCCACTGTTATTTCAGCTTGGACTTACCCCTCTGAACGACAACGACCCTCGTGACAAATACTACTACGAAGTCATGGTCGTCACGGGCATGCGTAGAAGTGCTGGGACGGATTCCAAGGTACGATTCGCCCTTATCAGGAGACGAAATGTATATCTAGGCCCGGGTCTCGTTTCACAACGCGATCTTAGCATTACGACTGCCGTAACTCCTAAAGTCGTACGTACGACAGTCGTAGCGATACGATTGCTTTGTGAAACAGGAACTTGTTCTTGACATTGATCCAGAGCCGTTCTTTTCTTGTCCAGATATTTACCTTGTAAATGGCGCGTCATATTGAATAGATAAAAGCATATGTTAAATTATCATTTTTTTTGTACTGTATGTACAGCACCTAAAAAGGATGAAGACTCTTTTGTGTGTTTTCTGTTAGCATTATTTTCATTTGTAGTGATGACCGAGCACACAGTGTCATAAACATATCCCAAAATTATTCATGATCATTAACTGTTTTTCGTTCAGTATACATCCTAAAAATTGTTCTGACGTCTGGATGTAAACTGCTGGGAATACAAACTCTCCCTTTCATCAAAAGCCAGATACGGCGTTTCTATCATATTCTTCAAGTGGCTGCAGTCACCCATGTGTTACCATGGTGATGTTGCATTGCAGGTGTTCCTCATCTTGTCCGGTGAGAATGACGAAACCGATGTGCGCATGCTCAATGACGATAAACGGAAGGTCTTCAGGCGTGGAAATGTGGATGCTTTCTTGATGTCGGTGCCAGAGTAAGTATAGTTAAATTTATACATTATATTATTCACAAGATGTTAAGGACACACGATTCTTTGACATTACTAAGTCTTTTAAATTAGTTAATGCGTAGTGGCATGGCAGTGAGTGAATTCAGTTTTACGCTACTTTTAGCAATATTATATTTTAGCAATATACAGGGGTGGAAAAAGCCCATTGCCCGACGTCCCAGTCCAGTGTTTTTTTTCTGTCGGGCAAGCAAATTTGTATATCACGTTGTACCAGTGTCCACTTGACTTTCCAATGTTAATTATGTTGTTTATTTAAAAAATCAACAAGAAAAGTGGCCGGTATAGTGGAAAAATTATCAGGGCAAGTGATTTTACATGTGCAACTGTACAGGAGTACACTAGCAATTTTAAAGTTATTTCTACCCCTGAATATAAAACAATTTTCTATTTCCAGGCCCCTCGGTCCCCTAAATTACGCCCGTGTGTGGCATGACAACTCCGGCAAAGGCAAGTTCGGGTCGTGGTACCTCAAGTACCTCATTGTCAGAGATGTGCAGACCGAACAGAAGTTTGTCTTCATCTGTAACAGGTGGTTTGCTGTTGAGGAGGATGACGGACAGGTGCGTTTCATTTGATAAATTCATATGTTATCCGTTCCACAGTCGAAAGACCCGTGAAGATCCGGCTTACATTTGATCTTCAATAACCCATGCTTGTCGTAAGAGGCGTGTAACGATATCAGGTGGTCAGGCTCGCCGACTTGGTTGACGCATGTCATCGGTCCCCAATTGCGTAGATCGATGCTCATGATGTTGATCACGAGATTGTCTGGTCCAGATTTGATTATTTACAGACCGCCGCCATATACCTTGAATATTGCTGAGTGCGGCGTGAAACTAAACTCACTCACTACAGTCGAAAGACAGTCGTGACAAATGTTAGTTATTGATCAAGTTGTTGATTCAAGAAGTGACACACCAGTAAATTAGGTGTAGTACTGACAAATAACTCAATTTAAGGTGTTTCCCAAATAGAAAAAAAATTACGATAGCTTACAAGGATGTGGAAAAGATGCATGAATGCAAAATTTCTTCCACCAAAAGGTACGCCATGTTGTGTGGAGAACGTTTGCCCACAGGGAATTGAGAAAGCAATTACAATGTACGCATATATACTGAAAGTAACAAATAAAGGAACTCCACTTCAACGCATTGTCATTTATTTCCTTTTAGATTTTCACCCACAGTGCAGTACTAAACATGCAAGATATAGAATCACCTTATACTTTCAGTTGTGCCCTTATTTGTTTCCCTCAGTATACATTGGCGTGGGAATCTTTGTCATATTTTGGACATATCAGTATGTATGTACAATATCATAATTATTTGAAGAACTAGTAGCATTAGTATTGTTATTGTTTATTGATTAAACCTAGGTTTATAAATATTGTTTAAATGACGTTTATAATCCTTGTGCAGGTCGACCGCGTGATCCCTGTTTCTGGCCTAGCCCAGATGACGGAGTTCGGCCACCTGTTCTCGGAGAGAAGCAAGAAGAACCTTGTAGATGGTCACCTCTGGTTCTCTGTGGTCGCCCGACCCCCCACAGAGTCGCTTCACCCGTGTCCAGAGAGTGTCCTGTTGTTTGTGTCTCCTGTTTGCCACCATGCTGTCTAACGCCATGTTCTACGGCCTAGCAGATGACCAGCCGGGAACGACCTTCACGTTCGGGCCGTTTGCCCTCAGTCCACAGCAGGTACTTGATATTTAAAAAACTGTTCTTTAAATTAGCTGTGACACATATTACTGTCACTCATAAATTTTGTCGTCACACATATTGCCGTCACACATCTTGCTGACACACATATTGTCGTCACAAACATTGTCGTCACACATATGGCCGTCACACATATTGTCGTCACAAAGATAGTTATCACACAGATTGCCGTCACACATATTGCTGCCACACATGTTGCCACAACACATATTGCTGCCACACATATTGCTGTCACACATATTGCTGCCACACATATTGCCGTCACACATATTGCTGCCACATATATTGCCGTCACACAAATGTCCTCACGCAGATTGCCGTCACAAAGATTACTGTCACCTATCTTGCCGTCACACATATTGCTGTCACACATATTGCCGTCACACATATTGCTGCCACACATATTGCCGTCACGCATATTGCCGTCACGCATATTGCCGCAACACACATGCCCGTCACACATATTGCCGTCACACATGTTGCCGCAACACATATGCCCGTCACACATATTGCCGTCACACCTTACAATTGATAAGTATTCTTGACATTCCTCTTCAAGCATTATCGTTGATAAGACACGATTCCAACATTAATCGTTACCCTTTCAGATCTACATCGGCATCATCAGCAACCTAATCGTGTTCCCAGCCAACTTCATAGTCATCACACTGTTCCGTAAGTCAAAGGCCAGGAAGATGAGGCCATCACGTCTGGAGGAAGCCCTGAAAAAGATGCCGAACAGAACATCTGCTTCAATGACCGACGTCAAGCCTGAAGTTGCTAGTGTCTGGTCAATGGGAGGAAGACCGAACAGTCAGGCAAAAAATCGACCCGAGAGCTCCCTCTCACAGACGGAATTCAGACCCCAGAGTGGAATGTCCCAGACTGGAGAGAAGAAGAAGAAGAAAAAGAAGTTCGAGTTACCTTGGTGGTGTCGCATCGTCGGGTGGATCGTGCTCTGGGCAGTCACCGGGTTGTCGGTTGCTTTTGTCACCTTCTATGGCATAATGTTCCAGGACGAGAAATGCAAGAAGTGGATTACCTCCATGCTGGTGTCCTTCTTCACGTCAATCTTCGTTACCCAACCAGTCAAGGTGTGTACAAGACGTGACTGAGTAACGCTGATTTCAATAGTATCCCATTGGCTTATCTTGGTCAGCTTGGTGAGGTGAGGTGAAATTTGGTTTATCGTCGTGCTTGAGAATATTTCGCTCATATGACGACGTGCATGCGTGTGGATGTGCGGCTGCTTGTACTAGCCCAGACTGAAGCTGGTTTTATAGTGCTTGCCCACTGAGATACCATGCCACAGTGAAGGATGAATACCCCACTTAGACACATTATACTGACTTCGAGCCGACCAGTCCTTGTTGTACCCATTAATGCCGAGCGCCAGGCAGGGACCAACAAGTACCATACTTTAACGTCTTTTGGTATGACGCGGTCGGGGATCGAACCCACGACCTTCCGCTCTCCGGGTGGTCAGCTTGGGGTGGGGTGGGGTGGTTAGTAGAAATTAAGCATAATGTACACATTCATCACTTTCGGGTACCCATGTGAACAGCTCGGTTGCAACAGACCAAGTGTAACAGTTTGGGATTCGAACCCGGTGAGTGAGTTTGGGTTTTTTCGCTGCTTTTAGCAACATTCCGGAAATGAACTTCACACACTGTACCAATGTGGGGAGTTGTACTCGTGTCTTCAGCGAGACAAGCGGACGCTTTAACCATTAGGCTACCCGCCGCCCTGAACCCGGTGTAAATAATGACTGTTACACAACATTTGACTGTTATACAACATTTAAACTGATACATTTCATCATCTATTCTGCCAGATAATAAAACTCTTTCGAAACAAATTGAAATGGATAGTTCATTGTAATTGAATATATTAAGTTTACTCTTCTTCCACAGGTGTTCCTGACCGCCATTATCTTCTCGCTGATCTGGAAGAACCCCGGGGAGGGTGAAGACGATCGGCCTGAGGATGAGGAAGAGCCCAAACTCGAATACGATGAGGAGTATCTACATGCCGGCGCTCAAACGGGTGAGTTAAACACCCGGGCCCACTTGCACGAACAGATCTTAACTCTGAGACCACTGTAACGCCCGTAATACGTACACTTGCACATGTAAGTTTGTGCAAATGGACCCCTTTATCTTTCCACAAAGTTAACGCTACAACGCCGTTCTTATAAAACAGGAAAGATGTATCCATATGATGGTTACCGCTATTTTTCCTTTTACCCCAAGCGAAATCTGTTTTGCAGAAAGTCGAGACTGACATTTGTGTAATTTTAAAATAGTTCTAGTGCTACGAAAGCTTTGGCAAAACAACTTTTATTTATCAAAAATAAGGGTTTCGCCAGCAACATAGTGTGAAACTTGGGCATGGTCATTTCTGTGCACCTCTGACCTGGAAAGGGATCGAAGTGCTAAAACAACCTTCACAACGGTGCTTGACAAAGACTTAGTCTTAACACAACATTTGATTTGAGAACTGGCATTAATATTGATCAATGAATATGCAGATGAAATACTTTGTACAGGAAAACTGCGATCACTTTGCAAGTTGTCCCATCAAAGATTTAGGGTTTAAATGAGACATAATTTGAGTTTCCACGAACCACAACTTGACATAAAAAGTAGTTTAAGGTACATCAGCATGAAACAACATGTCTTTTTCACATACAGTAAACATACTTATTACGGACACGTCAACGAACTGTTTGGGGTTTTCTAAAAACATTTTGTCCTGATCCCTTGTCATATATATTGGTTAAATGCAGATAACCAACTACGATTAAATCGAACTAAAATTAGAGGTCACTTCGATTTTGTTATATCCGTAGTTTACCGTATTTTACTTTTGTGCCCAGGAGGATTCGGAGCAGCTCGCCCACGAAAGATTGGGTACAAACCACCAGATCCAGAGGAACTTGAGAGGGCAAGAAAGCAGAGGCTGAACGAAATCAAGATGTGGGAAATCGTCAGAGAGCTGGTGTTCTATTCCTTCTTCTTGTGGATATTAATGGTCATCAGTTACCGCAGCAGGAACCCAAATGGATACCTCTACAAGGACACCCTAGAGAAGATGATCATCAAGAACAACCAGACTCTGCAATGGTTCACCAAGGTGGGTGCAATATATGGTTTTGGTTTTGGTTTGTTTGTTTGTTTGTTTGTTGTTTATCACCGCACTCAGCAATATTCCAGCTATATGGCTACAGTTTGTAAATAATCAAGTCTGGGCCAGACAATCATCCTCGATAATCTCCAGGGTATACGTTACTATCACTCTCCACTATACCCTGGATGCATCCACGGCTTGGCCCGATAATTATATTACCTCCCTTTGCTGGCTCCGCATTCTCATAGTAGCCAATCAGCTTAGGCGCCGTTACATCCGAGCTTGATAGCGTCAACAAAGATAGCGGTCGCAGTCGCGAAGGTTTGTTCGCAGTGTCACTCAGATTTTGGGGAAAATCATACAGACAAATTGACAGATCTGAAACTTTAAAAAAATATATGAAAGAACTTCTTCTACCTCGTTCAGAGTACCTCTGCATCAATTGTGTTGCTCAGTTTAAACGGTTAAATAATTTAAGAAGCGAAAGAGAGTTGTCATTGGTTCGCTCACCTTCCCAGCGTAGACACCTGATTGGATAAAAAGCCAGCCAAGGGAGGTAATAAAGCCAGCCAAGGGAGGTAAGCCGCCGATGCATCCAGGGTATAGTGGAGAGTGATCATAACGTATACCCTGGAAATTATCGAGGATGCCAGACAATTTACTGATCAACATCATGAGCATCTGTCTACGTAATTGGGGTACGATGACATGTGTGAAGCAGTCAGGGACCCTAACCATCCGATCATGTTAGTCGACAAGCACAGATTACCGAAAACCAATTCTAATCCGGATCTTTACGTAAATGTTTTAATGAACGATTGTTCCTGTCATATTCTGTTTTGGCGTACAACCAGTGACCACCTCATTTAACATAAATATATATGTCACTCAGGACATGTTAAAATTGTGGTTCGTGATTTTGTCATGACACTATCGGTCAGACAATTGCCCTATAGCTGAAATACTGCTGAGACCAGTCGTTCTCGGGGGCTATCTTTTTTCGACCCGAAATACTGACTGAGTTTGGTTTTACGCCGCTTTTAGCAATGTTCCAGCAACATCACGGCGGGGGACACCAGAAATGGGCTTCGAACATAGAACCCATCTGGGGATTTGAACCCGGGTCTTCGGCGTGACGAGCCAACGCTTTAACCACTAGGCTACCCTGCCGCCCCCGACCCGAAATTGCAAAATGATTTTAAGGGAATAATTCTTTATGAGGTGGGTAGCCTTGGGTTTAAAGCGCTAAAGACCGGGGTTAAATTCCCCATATGGATTCAGTGTTTGAAGCCCGTTGTTTGTGCTTCCTGTCCTGATATTGCCACGTAAAACATTACTCATTCACTCAAACATTCACCCTTTGTCAGATACACAACGGTCAGGAGTACTGGAAATGGGCACGGAGCGGCATGGTGAACGCCGTGCGGGCTAGCAGCTACTACAACAAGGACCCACCGCTCATGCTGCGAGGATTCATCGGCGACAAAGTGTCCAGGATGATGGGTTTTGCCACCATGAGACAACTTCGAGTTGAACAAGGTGCGAATGAGCCCTACAATTATCCTATCATATCTACAACCTTTTAATACAGCCCATGCTGAACATAATATCTGCCTCTTTCCTCTACCCATCTGGTTTTCCTCATCACAACCCGTCTTCTCCTGTTGCACGCATACATCATGTTCTGATGTGCTTGCATTTATTATTAAGAATCTCTAAGCGCCATTTTATCTGTTGCCATGGAAACAAGATTACAAGTACTGAAAGAAGATAAAACGTACTTGAAGAGATCAAATTGAATCAATAACTTTCCTGGTACCTTGTTATTTATTTGTCAGGCTGTTTTCATCCTTGACACGCTGTAAACTTGATGGTTGTAGTTGAGGGTATTCATTTCGACATTAGTTGTCATTTCTGTTTCAATTTCATATTTTTATTAAACCCATGCTTGTTGTAATAGGCGAGTGACGGGATCGGGTTGACAAGCTCGCTGACTTGGTTGACACATGTCGTCGGTTCCCAATTGCGTAGATCGATGCTCATGCTGTTGATCACTGGATTGTCTGGTTCAGACTCGATTATATACAGACCGCCGCCACATAGCTGGAATATTGCTGAGGGCAGCGTTAAACAACAAACCAATAAATCATAGCTATATATAAATCAATGCTTACTTATTGATGAACTTACGTGCTCACTAAGCTTTTTTTCCGTTTGGTGACGTATTTGGATAGCGTCAGTGACGTATTACCTTCCGATGTGTATAAGTTTTCGTTTTTAAAAAACGGGGAGGTGGGATAAATTAGTGGTCAAAGCGTTGCTCATTACGCCGAAAGCCGGGTTTGATTCGCCGCAAATGAAGTGAAAAACACACTTCTGGTGTGCCCCGCCGTGTTATTACAAGAATATTGCTAAAGGCGACGTAAATCTAAACTCTGTTACTTTTAAACCAAAATGCCACAATGGTATATGTTCAGTTTGTTCCCAGGAACATACGTACACGCTGTCCATGTTCATCATTCTATTGTTGGCATTCATTTGGCGATATATTACGAAAGTTATAAAATGGCACTTTCCTACTGAGTACCTAATATACACACCCTCCACTGGAAATTTAACGAGTAGGTTGTTGCTATTTAGCAATATCTTGTGAGTGAGTGAGTGTTTTATGCCGCTTTTAGCAATATTCCAGCAATATGACGGCGGGGGACTCCAGAAATGGGCTTCACACATTGTACCCATGTGGGGACTCGAACCGGGGTCTTCGGCGTGACGAAGCAGTATCTTGTAGTGCTAGGTATATGGATGACCGTGAAATGTTGAAAAGCATGAGAACATATTTGTTGACGTGTCAACTTCCTTTGTGAAGGGGCGGTGGGGTAGCCTAATGGTTAAAGCGTCCACTCGTCACGCCGAAGACCCGGGTTCGACTCCCCACACGGGTACAATGTTTGAAGCCCATTCCTGGTTTCAAAGACCGTGTTACTGCTGGAATATTGCTAAAAGCGGCGTAAAAATTCAAAAACTCTCTCTCTTAACCGGAATCCCGGTGATGAAGGGACGCGGAATGAGCACTGCAGTGGAAATATGATATGTCCCCCGCCGTGATATTGCTGGAATATTGCTAAAAGCGGCGTAAAACCATACTCACTCACTCACTCCTTTGTGAAAAATAATGCAACCTTTTAACGCATGTTTGGCTCTGTTGTAGGTTTATGCCACCCAGTAGATGTGATGCAGACAGTGATTAGCGAATGTAACGAGGCTTACTCCCTATTCAGCGAGTCGAAGGACAGTTTCTCTCCAGGATGGAAAACATTAGGCGTAAACGAGACAGCAAGGATGGAATACTCGTACAGGACCGCCTCTGACCTGAACGGTTATCCTTACTTAGGCCTGAGGGAACTCTATGGCGGAGGAGGTTATGTCGTTGAGCTCAGAGGCTCGAAAACCACACTTGAACAGAAAATGATAGCTCTAGAGAATGAAGGCTGGATTGATAGATACACCCGGGCAGTCTTTGTGGAGTTTACGGTCTACAACCCCCAGGTCAACCTGTTCGCGATCGCGACCATTTTAGCCGAGTTTGAACCGAGTGGGGGTGTCCTGACGTCGTATCGCTTTGAACCTGCGACGTTGCTGCCGTACATGACGTCGGTGATGCTGTTCCAAATCGTGTGTGAGGTTATCTACCTTATTTTCACGATCGTATTCATCGTCAAAGAGTTCCGTACGTTCCTCAAAGAAAGAACGAAGTACTTTAAGTCTTTTTGGAATCTTGTCGAGATATCGATCATTGCAATGTCAGTTTCATCTGTCGTTGTGTACTTCTACCGGTTGATCGTTACGAATTCCCTCACTAACGAGTTCAAACGTAACCATGGCAACGAATACATGAAGTTCCAATATGCTGGGTATTGGAATGAGATCTTCTCGTACATGATTGGCTGGCTAGTGTTCTTTGGCACTCTGAAATTCCTGAAACTACTGCGCTTTAACAAAAGAATGTCACTCCTCGCTTCCACCCTGAAGAACGGAGCTCACAGCATTATACACTTCAGCGTCTTGTTCAGCATCATGTTCCTGGCATTCATGCAGCTCTTCTACCTTACCTTCAAGAACGTCAGCACTGCCTTCATAACAATGGTCATCTCAGCAGAGTCCGGAATCCTGATGATGATGGGCAAATTTGACATCTATGGGATGCTGATGGTGGAACCAATCCTTACCCAGATCTACGTCTTCTTCTTCGTCGTGACCTGCACCTTCATCCTCGTCAACATGTTCCTGTCCATCCTCAACGAGACCTTTGCTTCGGTACGCGTGGACATCAGCAAACAGAACAATGACTACGAAATCGTCAGCTTTATGGTCAATCGGTTCAAGAAATGGACAGGACTTGGGACCGTACACACGACTCCACCAACCAACGCCGCTGGAAACAAGCCACCCACTGTGGAGGAGTTCCCGGACCGCATCGACCGCCTCCTCAACTCCATCTCCAACGTATACATGGACGACAACATCGGGGCGCTGCTGGAAAGCAAAGGAGAATCCAAGAAGATGGCGATGAAGAACATGATGAGACCGACAGCCCCGAGCAGCACACGAGCCGGCCCCACGAGAGTTCACACTCACTAAGTGTGGGTTAAACTGGTTCTATAGGCCCAGCACTAGTCTCACACTCACATGCGTGGACATTATAATAGCTGCTTTGCCTATACTGTCATACCGACTTGATGTCAAGTTTTTCCTTAGTTCAGTCTCTGTGTATCCATCGTAGTTCAGTTAGTAACGATTCGGAAGAAAAGCTGTGTTGTCTTATATAGACTATTACACAAATACGACGCGGGTATCTCAATAGAAAAAAAATCTAACACAATATTTCAGTGTGTTTCAGTTTAAATTTGCCTGTGATTATATACGCCAGTTACAGAAATGCATACAATACACTCTCCGTACGGTATGAGAACTGTTGAAGTCAATACCATACCAGTAACTTGAAAGAAAATGCGTTTTATGAAGTCGAAACAGAATACATTGTGTATTTCTAAATTTCTATGTGAATTGAAATTCTAATGTCTCCTGTCGAACATGTTACAAGTCAAGCTTTACTTCTGTATAATTCATGATCCAATCGGCAATATTCCATCTATGTCATTATAATTACAATGGGATACTCTAGAAACTCGTTATGGTGTTAATGTTTGTTATGTTGTTGCTTTAAATTTATTGATACTTGAGATAAACTGGTCTCACATTAGAACACCTGGTGTTCTCTCCATGATAATGTACAAGTCATTATACGAACGTTTTTGGCCTTTCAACCAATCAGTGATGAATGCTTCTCAACGAAATCATATCAAATGAAACTATTTAATTGATTCATTAATTTTGTTTTTATGTAATATACTTAGCATAACACTCGTTTTGTGGAACTTTTAAAGCTGAAATATCAATTACAATGTTATTTTCATATGAGGAAGAGCCTACATCCTGACAACCATATAGATTTCTTCCTGCAAATTTAACTAATGTTGGATAGATTTTATTATATTTCTGTTGTTTCATTGTCAAGATACTGTGATATTAAAACTGCTGTTTCATTGATGCAAACTTATTTTTCCTTATTGCGTCCGTCCATCTGGTATCTCTGAATAGAGACCTACATATCTGTTGCATTGTTAAAGGTTTTATCAAATCAATAAAAAGACAGTAGCAGACAGCATGTGTAGTTAGTTGTTTTTCATTGTTTTGCTTGTTTGGGTCTTGTTTAATGTCATCCTGAACAGGGGATCAGTGGGGTAGACTAGTGGTAAAAGCGTTCGCTCGTCACGCTGAAGACCCGGGTTCGATTCCTCACACGGGTACAATGTGTGAAGCCCATTTCTGGTGTCCGCCGTCGTGATATTGCTGGAATATTGCTATAAGCGGCGTAAAACCTCACTCATGCACCCATCCACCCTCAACAACGTTCCAACTATATGAAGACGATGAGATGCATCAGCTATCAGTGAGCCAGACCACCCGCAAGTTGCCTCTTAGGACATGGTTTGTTGAAGACCAATATCCGGGTCATCTTTTATCAGTTTCAGGCTCACTGGGCATGTAAGGTGAATTAGCGGGGAATAGTATGTGAAAGGTCGACTGATAATCAGTCATGACACCAGGTGTTCATGAAAAGCTGAGTATGTCCTGCCCTAATGGTAGCAACCGCCACTGACAAGGAAAGCAGCATGGAAACCAATCTGCCATCAAGTACAATGTTTACAGCCGAGGACTGTTCACATTACTCCAAAACTCCAGAACTCTGGTTAACACAACGACAAAATCCATTACATTAAGCCGAAGTCCTTCTTCCGGTTCACTTAACGCCCAAATCAAAATGTCTGGTTCACGTTATACTACAGCAGACTTACGTTTTTCATATACTCATGCCAATAATGGTTGTCACCCCCTTCAATTTTTTTAATTGGTGACGGGGTGTGGGGTGTAAAGTGGGGTGTGAGGTGTGTGGGGGGGGTTTGGGGGAGAGGGTGACAACCATTATTAATTTGGCATGAGTATATTACGCCAACCTGAAACTCCTTCTTTACACAGTAGGTCACTATACGGCTGAAATATTGCCGAGGTGACGTTACATTTTAACTCACTCACTCACTCACTTTACGCAAAAGACCCGTGCAGATCCGGGTTAGAATCGATGTTCAGTAACCCGTGCTTGTCGTAATGGGCGAGTAACGGGATCGGGTGGTCAGGCTCGCTGACGTGGTTGACACGCCATAGAATCCCAGTTGCGTAGTTGCCCACTACAGATTTCCGGTTCACATAACACTAAAGGGGTACCAAGTGGTGATGGCTTTTAGTCGTCATGTCTAATACATGTGTTCAGTTCTTCACATAATTTAAAAATTAAAGCTTTTGTATGGTGCCATAATGTTCCTGGATGATTCATAACTCTCTCACGCCCTCTATCATTACCCCAAACCATCTGACGCACAGCTACAAATGTCTGGTTGATAATTCAGCTCCATTTAAGAGCCCACGTTGACACTGTGCCAAATTCCAACCTTGTGTTATCTCTACTGAGTGTGTAGGGTTACGGACACTGGCCTTTAACAAAAGCTGAATATAATGGATTTTCAATTAATAATACAGTAGTTATTGACTGCGATTGTTTCCCGGCTATCTTGATTTGTACAGGAACTCGTATCGATTGCTCTTACAAGTCAGTTTTGTCGACTTTTATAGCTGAAAAACTGCTGATGCGGCATTAAGCAATATTCACTCGTTTCTTTGACAGCATGTATCGCATTTTGAACACTCGATGTGTATATAATGTATATACTGGCCACATAAAGAAACTGTGCACACAGAAAATATAAAGATATTCAGACAGTGTCTTCATACATAAATATAGGTGTGAACATAGCAAGTATTGGAGACAATCAAACGCTCATGCAGGTGCCAGGCGACGTGACGTCATTGATGGTGGCCTATGGACTTGTAATGTGTTACTGCACGTGCAGCCTGTGCAGCTGCACACAACATGTGAAACTCAGAAATTGCTGTCACTGTCGAAAGCTTGATCTTTGCTCATTCAAACGTTCACAAATTCACATGAAAAGTCACATGCACATCATGCCAAGATTAACATCTGCTCAACGTCATGAAGCCATTGGAATGGTTCGAGCAGGAATGAGCCAACAACAGGTGGCAGCACATTTCCAATGCCATCGTAACACGATATCTGCATTTGTCAGGCGTTAGGGAAACAGTAATGACGTCGCCGACCACCCCGTTCTTGGCGTCCCCGAGTAACGACGCCAAGACAGGACAGATGGATTCGGGTGACTCATCTCAGACACAGGTTCCAGACGGCAGTGACCACGTCCCAAACCATTCCCCAGGCCTTCAATGTTCATTTATCTATGCGTCGTCGATGCACTACTGTGCTTCACGCGCATGATGGTCATACTCGTTATTGACTGTGACTTCGACGTGTGACCCCCTACTCAATTGTTAACTTCTGACGTCATCGTTACGGATATTGTTCATGTTCTTTTTGACATGTTGTTGTGGCCCGATACTTCAGCTTATAAAGTGTCAACATCATTTCGTCTTTTCTGTGTTGTATTCCAATTCTGTAGGAATATTCTGTGTGCATACTTTCTTTATGTGGCTAGTATAATAAATCATTGATATGGATGATAACTTCCGGTGAATGATAGATGGACAGATGGATTCCTTAATTTTTATATCCTTTATAATCTTTATATGTGTATAGATGTATAATACACGTCATAGCATAACATTTGAGGAGTGGGAATGGGACTAAATTGCAATTTTCTACTTGGTATGCAGAGGTGAAGCTTGTTATTGCGGTCGGCATTCTGATTGCTGGATCCGCATAAACAGGTGTCCGTATTAGTGAGTGAGTTGGGTTTTAGCCGCTTTGATCAGTTTTCCAGTTGCCTTATTCATCTTGATGTGTGAGGAAGACCCGGGGTAATGAAGGTCTCAACAATTAACCACTGTGGTGAGACTCTCGAGAACGCCTATGGTTGTGCCACGCCCAGAAATATAATCGGGTTTTGAACATATGGTATAGCTGTTGGGCGTACCCAAGGGACGGAACTTTCCAAAGCGAAAGCGTCACGGCGAAGACGCGGGTTCGATTCCCCACATGGGTACAATGTGTGAAGCCCATTTCTGGTGTCCGTGATATTGCTGGAATATTGCTAAAATCATACTCACTCACTCACTCAAATGTGAATTGCGGCGCCTAAGAGGACTTGGCTACATTAGATTTCGTTTTAGTGTTAGAAAGTGATGTTCATGTAATTATGCATGCATGTAAGTTTTTCCATATGAACTGTCCAGAATGTTTTCCCAATCAACGTGTCCAGAAAGGACTGTCTCCGTAGTCTAGTGGAGAGAGCGTCTGAAGTTGAAGCCCCAGAAGACGTTGCATGGTATTTGCTGCCAGTGCAGGAGATGGAACAAGAACTGGTCGGCTTGGACATTAAACCAACATCAGTTTAAACTGATACAAGCTGACACGTGCACACACACAGAGACACACAGACAAAAATGCACACACCAAGGCACACTTGCGCACACATACACACAACAAACACATATGCACACACAAACACACATGAACACGCTGACACACACATACATACACACACACACACATCCACGTCTCTATTCACGTTCAATAATCTAACGATTCCAACTAGAAGGTAAAACCGTATCGGTTGGATGACCATCACTTCGTATTATACATGCACCCTAAGATTATCTGTAGTTAAACAACTGACTTGCCATTGCATGTGTTTGTGATAGGTGCCAGGGGAACGCTCACCTTTTCAGCGGCATCATCATAATAATAATGGCTATATATAAAGCGCCTTTATCCACGCACCTGTGCATGCTCAAAGCGCTAACGTATTATTAACCCAGATAACCCAAGCTGCCTGTTAGGCGCTAGAAGGTTTACAGTCATCCCAGTTACCTATCCCACCGGGAACCCATTCACTGCTGGGTGAACAAAGACAATTCATGGACAAACTCACTTGTGCTTCGTAGTGGGGCAGGACCGAAGTCTTAGAAATTCCGAGGACTTAAGCTGCCAAACACGGTCACCCATTCAAGGACTTTCCAACCCGTAAAGGTCCGGGTTAGAATGAACCTTCAGTAACCCATGCTTGTCGTAAGAGGCGACTAACGGGGTCGGGTGGTCAGGCTCGTTGACGTGGTTGACACATGTCATCGGTTCCCAATTGCGCAGATTGATGCTCATGCTGTTGATCACTGGATTGTCTGGTCCAGACTCGATTAATTACAGACCGCCGCCATATAGCTGGAATATTGCTGAGTGCGGCGTAAAATTAAACCCACTTACCCAAGGACTCTCCACGCTCAACGTTGCTTATTTGTGACCTGGGCGCTATGCATAGGTCCACACACCACCACTTTATCATGACGTGACTGTGATACAAAATACACGCTCGTGATGAAGTCGGAATTGTACAGTCGACTTTGCTTTCAGCAGAGATATAAATATTGAAAGGGGTTTGTCAGTGATATTTATGTGTGCGCTTGGCACCTAATACTCGGTTCCGATGTATAATAGATAATGTGTCGCTGGTGGTATTCTCCTATTACACGTAGTCTCTACATATTCTTCTTAATCATGGGAATCTATGAGAGTTGGCTTCTCAGGCTGTATACCCGATTTAGGGTCACAGAATGGGAGGAATGTGCGAATATTATTGGCCATGTCTGTTCCTGCCAGTTTTCATGGGTGGCGGGGTAGCCTAGTGGTTAAAGCGCGAGACCTGGGTTCCATTCCCCATATAGGTACACTGTGTAAAGGATGGACTACGTAGTGTGAGATACCATGCCGCCGTATGACATGGATATCTGGACTCACTCACTCACTCACTCACTCACTCACTCACTCACTCACTCACTCACCACTCAACCACTCAACCACTCAACCACTCACTCAACCACTCAACCACTCAACCACTCACTCAACCACTCACTCAACCACTCACTCAACCACTCAACCACTCTCAACCACTCACTCAACCACTCAACCGCTCACCCAACCATTCAACCATTCAACCACAACACCACTCAACCACTCACTCAACTCACTCAACTCAACCACTCACTCAACCACTCTCAACCAAACCACTCAACCACTCAACC